AGCACCGACCTGAAGTAGCATCAAGCACTGACCTGAAGGCCCGAGCACCTGACCTGAAGCAGCATCAAGCACCGACCTGAAGCCCCCAAGCACCGACCTGAAGCACCAAGCACCGACCTGAAGCAGCATCAAGCACCGACCTGAAGTAGCATCAAGCACTGACCTGAAGGCCCCGAGCACCGACCTGAAGCAGCATCAAGCACCGACCTGAAGCAGCATCAAGCACCGACCTGAAGTAGCATCAAGCACCGACCTGAAGTAGCATCAAGCACTGACCTGAAGGCCCGAGCACTGACCTGAACAGCATCAAGCACCGACCTGAAAGCAGCATCAAGCACCGACCTGAAGGCCTCGAGCACCGACCTGAAGCAGCATCAAGCACCGACCTGAAGTAGCATCAAGCACTGACCTGAAGGCCCGAGCACTGACCTGAAGCAGCATCAAGCACCGACCTGAAGCAGCATCAAGCACTGACCTGAAGTAGCATCAAGCACTGACCTGAAGGCCCCGAGCACTGACCTGAAGCAGCATCAAGCACCGACCTGAAGCAGCATCAAGCACTGACCTGAAGTAGCATCAAGCACTGACCTGAAGGCCCCGAGCACCGACCTGAAGCAGCATCAAGCACTGACCTGAAGTAGCATCAAGCACCGACCTGAAGGCCCCAAGCACCGACCTGAAGCAGCATCAAGCACCGACCTGAAGCAGCATCAAGCACCGACCTGAAGCAGCATCAAGCACCGACCTGAAGACCCTGAGCACCGAACACTGAGCATCATCTGTTCATGTTGTTCAGTCGCCTCCTCAAACTCTCAGAACAAAAAGAGACGGATTTAAAACAGAAGAGTTCACACAGATCCTCTGTCCAACTGTCTCAGACTTGATCCTCACACAACTGCTCTCTGCACCTGTCATGTTCTCCTGTCAGGGTCTCCTGTCATGTTCTCCTGTCATGTTCTCCTGTCATGTCTCCTGTCATGTTCTCCTGTCATGTTCTCCTGTCATGTTCTCCTGTCATGTTCTCCTGTCAGGGTCTCCTGTCATGTTCTCCTGTCATGTTCTCCTGTTCTCCTGTCAGGGTCTCTGTCATGTTCTCCTGTCATGTTCTCCTGTCATGTTCTCCTGTCATGTTCTCCTGTCATGTTCTCCTGTCTTTATCTGGTTCCTGAAAGTTCCTTTATTCTACGAAACCATCAGAGACTCTCCAGACACAGAGCTTCTTCTCTCGGTTTGTAACACCTGAACACTTTTGTCCTTTGGGATGTGACAGTGATTAGAGCCACAGAAGCTCCAAGACTCTCAGAACATCTCACAGGTCGTCTGAGTGTGAGGACCAGACTCATGATCATCGGTATGAACATTACTGTTGGTTTTACACATGTGGACGTCTCACTCCATCACACAGATGATTCATAATATTCATCAGACAGAAGCAGAGAGTTGAACAGTGAGATGTTTATTCTGTTCGGACTCGTCGTGTGGAGAAGTGAGGCACCTGAAAATACAGAGAATCAGAAGAGTCTGGTGTAATTCCAGGTGGAGCGGGGGATTACAGAGAGAAACCTCTATCTGAAATAACATCCTCTCAGAGTAAAGCCACCTCCACCTCCTCTCGCTCTAATCCTGATGACTCCTGCTCCTCTTCCTCCTCCTCCTCCTCTTCCTCCTGATGAAGCTGGTGCAGGTCCAGGCGGAGACGGAGCGTGGAGCTCTTATCATGAGCTCTGTGGGTCACACCGCCTCACTTTATCTGCCCCGAGAGGAGGAGGAGGAGGAGGAGGAGGAGGGAGACGTCTGCCAAATGAGAAATGAGCCTGTTTCCATGGCAACCACACCACCTAGCCCCTCCCCCCTCTCGCTGTGGCTGAGGAGCGCGTGGTCTGTGTGCAGCGGGAATCCACCAGACTGAGCCAGGTTTTTGGTTTGACACTAAAACAGAAAACTGAAATAACAAACTGTTTTCCTGTTTTTTTGTTTTCGTTCTTAATTGAAATTCAAAAGAACAAACGGACCACGGACCGACTCGTACGACTCCTGATCTCTGTTGAATTTTGAATTTATTTGTTTGGAGGATAAGCCCCATGAGATGTGTCACCATCTTGTTTTCAAGGGGGTCCTCATAAATACAATACTGTTCTAAAGTCGTGTCCTGGTCTCACACAGACCTGGAGTCGTGTTTTTTTTTTTATTCACAAACGTCTAACACACAAAACCCAGAATCATGTGGATCATTTCAGTCCCAATTTCTACTGAACTAAAGGAAAAGAAGCTGTTCACTTCATGACATCACCAGGTGGAGCAGAGCGTTTGGAGTTTTGTAGAATAAAGAGTTACTCAAACAAACAGGACTCCAGCTCTGAGTGTGAGGATTATAACGTGGATTAAAGTTCACTGGAGGTTTTTCGCGTCTGAAAAGGTTGCACTTTGTCTTGACCTTTTTTTAGAGAAAAGTTGTAGAATTGGAGGCGGTGGAGGACACACACAGCGCAGACGGAGAGAGGAGGAGAGAGGCAGCGATCGGTTTGTAAAAGAAAAACACTTGTTCTTCTCTTGTTCTGCGGGTCTCTCGAAGCCTCTGAGAACGTCTGAAAGCTCTGAGATGGATCAGCGGAAGACCTCACAATGAGCCCTTCAGACTCCAGCAGAAGAACTTCCAAGTACGAGCTTTCATCCGTCTGATTATACGAGGAAAAGAAATCGTACTCGAGAGGAGGGCTTAAGCTACAGATGCACACAGGAAGCGGGCCCTGGAGTGGGAGCAGTGCATTATGGTCCGTGAGAGCCGAGCGTGGCGCCGGGCTCCAGGCTGAAAGCTTCTACCCACAACAGGCCGAGTGAAGAGGATCTCCACAGAAGAGCTCCATTCACCCGTCCGGCCCAGAACCTCTCCAGAGCTCTCCACGGCGTCGAGAGCAGCGCCTGCGTCAGGCTGGAGCGCCGCGGCACGGAAACCCAGATCCTCCTCATTGTGAATCTTAAGTGCTCCTCCTGAACTCAATACACACTTGTACCTCGGTGACCGCTGAAGACCACTGCACCCGCAGCACCCGCAGCACCCGCTCCCAGCACCGTGACTTACTCGGCCGCAAATTACTGCTCAAAATAACCAGCAACACTCGACAGCAGATCACATGAAGCACAGGCCCACGTGAAATGTGTTTACCCTCTAACCAGAGGTCGACCGGTTCAGATCTCGCCCACGGAGCAGACGAACCTCGTGTCCGAACAGCGACGGATTCACCCAGTCACAGGGAAGTGTCCGGAACGATGGGAAAAGGAAAAGAGAAGAAGAAATCTGAGCCTAACGATAACTCTACCCTAACTCATAAACTGATGTAACTGATGAAAAATGTAAAACTGAATTCTAAACAAATCTAGACAAGTTTACATGTAAAAACAGAATTATAATCCTTCAATAACCTCAACGACACCACTTAACAGAATTCTAACCAGACACGACGCTGAAGCTGCACAGATCTGAGCTGTTAAAACAAACGGAGCTGAAAGTGACAAAATCCAACTGAGATTTTGAAAAAGGTCACACGAGCCGAGTAAAACAAACAGAATATTATTTTACAAAGTCTCTAAATCTGTTTCAACAGAAATCCACGAAAAGCAAACACAGAGCGGAGCCCAAATAAAAATCTACAAAAGAGTTTTATTCCTCGTCTGTACAATATTCACAGCTGAAGCTCTGCTTCAACACCACAGAAACATTTAAAAAACAAACAGCCCCACGAGTCTCAGAGTCCTGCAGCGTTTCTCCACATGTTGAGTCACGAACGGGCAGAGGTACATTCCAGTCAGTGCCAGAGGACTGGGCATGGACCCGGGCGCAGGACCCGGGCGCGGGACCCGGGGGACCCGGGGGACCCGGGCACAGTCTGAGTCCAGTGTTTAGACGACAGCAGCAGCAGCAGCAGCAGGTCAGTAGATCACTTCGTACACAGTGGCCTTTTTGTCTCCAGATCCCGTCACGATGTATTTATCATCAGTGGAAATGTCACAACTCAACACCGACGAAGACTCTTTGGACTGAAGAGAAGAACAGCACGAGTTAGAGACAAGACCACAGAGAAGACCAGAGAGGAGACCAGAGAGGAGACCACAGAGGAGACCAGAGAGGAGACCAGAGAGGAGACCACAGAGGAGACCAGAGAGGAGACCAGAGGAGACCAGAGAGGAGACCACAGAGAGACCACCAGAGAGGAGACCACAGAGGAGACCACAGAGAAGACCACAGAGAAGACCACAGAGGAGACCACAGAGGAGACCAGAGAGGAGACCAGAGAGGAGACCACAGAGAGAGACCACAGAGAGGAGACCACAGGAGAGAGAGGAGACCACAGAGAGGAGACCACAGAGGAGACCACAGAGGAGACCACAGAGGAGACCAGAGAGAAGACCACAGAGGAGACCACAGAGGAGACCACAGAGGAGACCGAAGCTTCAGCTCTGATCTGTGTGATCTGAGAAACTGATCCACAAACCTGGAAGATGCTGGCGCCGTACGGAGTCCTCCAGGCGTTCAGCAGATTGTCCTTCCCTGTGCTCACAAACCATTTACCTACAAACACAGAGAAACATCTCAGACAGGACAGTCATGTTCAACACCAACGCTGAACATCACACTGTCCTCTGATCTCTGTCCCAATGAACAAATATTCTACTAATCAACTCTTTCAGCTCTTGGACAGTGTTTCCTGTGTCTGCAGAGTCTGTACTGACTCAAAAAAACTCAATGTAAACTGTACAGAAATTGCAAAGATTTTATTTTCTTGATCTTTTATGTTTTGTGTAATATCGGAGCTTTAAACTCCACAGAGACAAACAAACAGCAGCTTTAACGTTCACGTTTCAGACATGAAGCCGACGGAGCGTTCGTACCACAGTAGGCGAACTTGAGGGACAGGACGCAGCTCTCGTGCAGGTGGAGCTGGTACTTGTCTGGTTTGGAGTGATGAAGAACCTCCACGTTGCTGCTCTCCATCCCCACGGCCAACCACTCGCCGGTGGGACAGTAGCCCAGAGAGAAGATCTGCACACGAGGAGAAACGTCAGTCAAACACGTCTAAAAAAAAGGATTAAAGTCTGGAGTGGGACCGGCCCGAATCGCGTCACTGGTGAAATATCGCGACAGATACAAAAGAAAAACTGGAAAATGAAGAAGACGAGGTGAGTGTGACGTCTCCCACAGCATCAGGCTCCAGTCAAATGAAGCTCATCGAGGCCCACTGCACGTTCCTCTGATGTGGCCAAGATTTTAAAACTTCTATCACGTTATTCATCTTGTTTTCAGATTTATGATCTACGTACTTGTTCAGAGACGCTTCATTCTCATCTAGAGGTCGTTTATTTGAAGAGAACTTGTCCAGTAAAATGATCTTGCTGCATGGACACATCATTTCAACACTTTCTTTTCAATTTCTGATAAATTTAAGTGTTTAGATTTTACGTTTTGGCCAAGCTCTTTTGCCGTGCAGCAGTTATGGGGGTGAATTTGGAGCCGTGTTCCGTATTAGGAGTTTCAACCACAACTATCATAGCAACAAAAGAACCAATCAGGAGCGAGGTTCTTAACGCCTTTTCCCCGTCCCTCGGAAATAAACATCTGTCAGAAGAACTGAATCAAACTGTCCGAGTTCAGCCGACGGGGCATCAGCTTTTTCACATTTTCTTTGTGTTTTGTCATTTTTAAGCAGATTTTCTGTATTTGACCAAAACAAAAGACGTCTGGGACATTTCTTGTATAAAACTGAGACAAATCAGTGGTTTTGTATAAATCTGTTGGGACAGAGACACAGGGACAGGACTGGGACTGTCCTGGGGAAACAGGGACGTCTGGACACTCTGAGCTTTCACAAACGTCTGATTTTGTAAGGATTTTTACAATCTCTGTATTCTTACAATATGAAATAAAAAAAAAATTGAACAGTCAAAGCTCCTAAAAGTGGCTTCAGACGCCGTCCTGGATTCATCTTCTACATTTGATTATATTTCCATGAAACTCAAAATCAAACAGGACGATGAACGCTCGCTCTGACCACAGCAAAATGAACATCTGCTCTTTAAATCATTTTGTGTTTTCTCTTGTTTACTGACCATCTTAACTTTTTGACAGTGTTGTGCATTGGTAACCATGGTAACATCCTGCATATTAATATACATAGTGATAAACCCGCGACCCCGTGACCCCGCCCGGTCCGCGGTCCGGTACCTGTGAGGTGAAGTCGTGCTGCTGGAGCTGCCGTCCCTCCCTCAGGTCCCAGGAACGCACGGTGTTGTCCAGACCTCCTGTCCACAGTTTGGTCCCGTCATGAGAAATGTCGATGCAGCTCGCCCCGTCTGTGTGACCCTGGAACTGTCTGCACACACACACACACACACACACGACACACACACACACACACGACACACACACACACACACGTATGATACACACACACAACACACACACGTATGATACACACACACAACACACACACGTATGATACACACACACACGACACACACATATGATACACACACACACGACACACACGCACCACACACACACGCGACACACACATTACACACACACAGTTACAAGAGGAAAAGATGACACACATGGAGAGTTCTGAGGAGATAAACCTCAGACTGTTTAAAGACGACGTCTGAGGGACTGAGACGCCACAACCACCAGCTCCAGTCAAATGAAGCTCATCGAAGTTAAGACTAGATCTTTTTTAAAAGTGTCCCACTGTGGGTTAGTGGAACTTCCACTTAATGTTTTTCTATGTAAATGTGTGTGTAAGTGTGTGTGTGTGTAAATGTGTGTGTGTGTAAATGTGTGTGTGTGTAAATGTGTGTAAATGTGTGTATGTAAATGTGTGTCAATGTGTGTGTAAATGTGTGTGTAAATGTGTGTGTAAATGTGTGTGTAAATGTGTGTGTAAATGTGTGTGTGTAAATGTGTGTGTGAAAATGTGTGTAAATGTGTGTGTAAATGTGTGTGTGTAAATGTGTGTAAATGTGTGTATGTAAATGTGTGTGTCAATGTGTGTGTAAATGTGTGTGTAAATGTGTGTGTGTAAATGTGTGTGTAAAATGTGTGTGTAAATGTGTTGTGTGTAAATGTGTGTGTAAATGTGTGTGTAAAATGTGTGTAAATGTGTGTGTAAATGTGTGTGTGTAATGTGTGTGTAAATGTGTGTAAATGTGTGTAAATGTGTGTGTGTAAATGTGTGTAAATGTGTGTGTAAATGTGTGTGTAAATGTGTGTGTAAGTGTGTGTGTAAATGTGTGTAAATGTGTAAATGTGTGTGTGTGTAAATGTGTGTAAATGTGTGTGTGTAAATGTGTGTGTGTAAATGTGTGTGTGTAAATGTGTGTGTGTAAAGTGTGTGTGTAAATGTGTGTAAATGTGTGTAAATGTGTGTGTAAATGTGTGTGTGTAAGTGTGTGTGTGTAAATGTGTGTGTGTAAGTGTGTGTGTAAATGTGTGTGTAAATGTGTGTGTAAATGTGTGTGTGTGTAAGTGTGTGTGTGTGTAAATGTGTGTGTGTAAATGTGTGTGTGTAATGTGTGTGTGTAAGTGTGTGTGTGTAAGTGTGTGTGTGTAAATGTGTGTGTGTAAATGTGTGTGTGTAAATGTGTGTGTGTAAAGTGTGTGTGTGTGTGTGTAAATGTGTGTGTGTAAGTGTGTGTGTGTGTGTGTGTAAATGTGTGTGTAAATGTGTGTGTAAATGTGTGTGTGTAAGTGTGTGTGTGTGTAAATGTGTGTGTGTAAATGTGTGTGTGTAAATGTTGTGTGTGTAAGTGTGTGTGTGTGTAAATGTGTGTGTAAATGTGTGTGTGTAATGTGTGTGTAAAGTGTGTGTGTGTGTGTAATGTGTGTGTGTAAATGTGTGTGTAAATGTGTGTGTGTAAATGTGTGTGTGTATGTGTGTAAATGTGTGTGTGTAAATGTGTGTGTGTAAATGTGTGTGTGTAATGTGTGTGTATGTAAATGTGTGTCGTATTCATAAATTTGTCCCATCACCAAGTCTCGAACCAACAAACTCCACAAAGGAGAAACATTCTAACATGTTTATCTTTTCCATGTCTGGTCATGTACCTGACCAGACTCAGGTCGTTTGTACCTGACTAGACTCAGGTCGTTTGTACCTGACCAGACTCAGGTCGTTTGTACCTGACCAGACTCAGGTCGTTTGTACCTGACCAGACTCACCTGACTAGAGTTTGGTTGTGCAGGTCCCACACGGCGATGTTCCCGTCGCTGCAGCAGGAGAAGCAGACTTTGGCGTCGGGGCTGATGGCGAGGGCGTAACACGCCGGGGCGGACGACGTCAGCTCCGCTTTGATGCGAGGAGTCGGAGACGCCAGGTCCCAGATGGTCAAGGTGCTCGCTTCACCGCCCACGATCAGCGTGCGCCCGTCCGGCAGGAGCTTACACGACCTGATGTAGTTATCTCTGTTCTGTGGAGCACAAAGGACACGAGCTGTACTCCAACGAGAAGAGCACCTGACAGAGCACCTGACAGAGCACCTAGAGCACCTGAGGGCACCTGCACCCGAGCACCTGCCGGGGCACCTGACCGAGCACCTGCCGGGGCACCTGCCGGGGCACCTGACCGAGCACCTGGCAGAGCACCTGCCGGGGCACCTGCCGCTGCCACACGAGCTGTCTTTAGATTTTACAGATTATTTTGAGCGACTGAAAAGAAAATGGAAAGTGACTGTTTCTGTTTCTCACAAACTCAAACTAAACTATTTAAAAGTTCACATGACTCGGTTGTGTGATCTGGTCTAATGTTTCCTCATCACACACACCTGGAGTTCTCTTAGTTTCACATGTTTAAGGTTTCTTTAAGAGTTCTTGTGACGTCATGTGGTAAAAAGGAGGCGCTCCACTGTGTTTTTAAACTCCACACTTTTACTAGAATCATTTGGATCATTTCAGTTGTGGAGCTGCTGTTAAAACAGACAGAAGAATAATAAAGTTACATAAACATGTGAATGAAACAAACACAAGTCCAGCTCTGTGTGTGACCAGGAACATCAGAACATGAGAACATTAGAACATGACCTGAGTTCACAGAGCTCTTGTGATGTTGGATGTTGGAGTTTTAACAGTGACTCTTGTTTTTATGACCAGACTTTCACACTCAGGTTTTATCAGACGTGGCTCTAAATCAAACAGGATCAGTATTTTCTGGTGACGTGTGGCGTTTTACGGCTCGGCTCTCGGGGAACAGACTGAACCGTTTTATGGAGCATTTTTATTTATTACAATAATAAAATAAAAAGGGATGTTGTAAAAATTGCTCTTACACTTTAAATCTTTTTGATTCAATTCTGCTGCAAAAATCCTGACAATTCAGAGATTGATTCCACTTTATAAAAACTTATAATAAAAACTTTATAATAACTACATCTTAATTAGTCTTATTATCACCAAACGTCCACGAGACAATAGTTTAATTTAAAATGATTCTGGAGTGCCATAAACTGCGAGTGTGTTGTGTGTCCGTCCTCAAAGTGTTTTTTGTGTGGCGTTTAATGAGTGATAGATGTAGTTGTGTGTGTTATGCAGTTTGTGGGTGTTGCTCGTGATGTTAATTTGTGGTGTGTGGTGTGTTGTTGTGTGCGTGTTGTGTGGTGTTGTGGGTGTGCTGGTGTTTTGGTGTGTGTGTGTGTGAGTGTGTTTGTTGGTGTGTGTGTGTGTTATTTGTTTTACTGTTTAGTGTTGTGTGGTTGGATGTTCACTTTAGAGTGTGTGTTTGTGTTGGTTTTAGGGTCTGTATTGATTGTGTGTGAAAGGTTTGTGTTACTGTGTTTGTGAGGATTGTGTTTGGTTTGTGTATTGCGTGTGTTGTAATACTGTGTGTGTGTTAATTGTTTGTTACGTGTGTGTTTTATTCAGTAGCTCATTGTCATATGTGTGTGGTGTGTAAGGTGTGTGTGGTGTGTTATGTGTGTGTGTGTTGCTGTTATGTGAGTGATGTGTAGTGTGGGGTTGATGATGGTGTGTATGTGTTGTGTGGTGTTGTTTGTGTGTGTTGTGTGTGTGTGTAGTGGCTGTGTGTGTGTGTGTGTGATTGGTGTGTGTTATGTGTGTGTGTGTGTTATGTGTGTTAGTGTGGTCGGTGGTGTGTGTGGTTGGTGTGTGTTATGTGTGTGTTATGAGTGTGTGTGTGTTTATGTGTGTGTGTGTGTTATGTGTTGTGTGTGTGTGTGGTTGTGTTGTGTGTGTGGTTGTGTGTGTTGTGTGTGTGTGTGTTATGTGTGTGTGGTTGTGTGTGTCGGTTTGTGTTGTTTATGTGTGGTGTGTCGGTTGTGTGTGTTGTGTTATGTGTGTGTGGTGTTATGTGTGTGTGGTGTGTTATGTGTGTGGTTGGTTGTGTGTGTGTGGTGTTATGTGGTGTGTGTTGGTGGTGTGTGTGTGTGTGTTTGTGTTGTGTGTTTGTGGCTGTGTGTGTGTGTTGTGTGTGTATGTGTGTGTGTGTGTGGTGTGTGTGTGTCGTGTATGTTGTGTGTGTGTTGTGTTGTGTGTGTGGTTGTGTTGTGTGTGTGTGTTTATGTGTGTGTGTGGTGTGTTGTGTGTGGTTGTGTGTGTTATGTGTGTCGTGGTGTTATGTGTGTTATGTGTGTGCTGTGTGTTGTGTGTGTTATGCTGTGTGTGTGTGTTATGTGTGTGTGCTGGTTTATGTGTGTGTGGTGTGTTGTTATGTGTTGTGGTGTGTGTGTTGTGGTTGTGTGTGTGTGGTGTGGTTGTGTGTGTGTGTGTGTGTGTTATGTGTGTGTGGGTTGTGTGTGTGTGGTGTGTGTGTTATTTTTGGTGTGTGTGGTTGTGTGTGTGTGTGTGTGTGTGTTATGTGTGTTGTGTGTGTTTTTGTGTTTGTTATGTGTGTGTGTGTTGTGTGTGTGTGTGTGTTATGTGTGTGTGTGGTTGTGTGTGTGTTGGTGTATGTGTGTGTGTGTTTTGTGTGTGTGTGTGTTTATGTGTGTGTGTGTGTGTTGTGTGTGTGTGTGTTATGTGTGTGGTGTGTTATGTGTGTAAGTGTGTTGTGTGTGTGTGTGTGTTGTGGTGTGTCGTGTGGTTTATGTGTGTGTGTGTGTGTGTGTGTAGTGTGTGTGTGTGTGTGTGTTATGTGTGTGGTGTGTTTGTGTGTGTGTGTGGTTGTAGGTGTGTGTGTGTGTTATGTGTGTGTGTGTTGTTAGTGTGTGTGTGTGTGTTATGTGTGTGTGTGTGTGTGTGTGGTGTGGTTGTGTGTGTGTGTGTGTGTGTGTGTGTGTGTGTGTGTGTGTGTGTGTGTGTGTGTGTGTGTGTGTGTGTTATGTGTGTGTGTGTGTGTGTGTGTGTGTGTGTGTGTATGTGTGTGTGTGTGTGTGTGTGTGTTATGTGTGTGTGTGTGTGTGTGTGTGTGTGTGTGTGTGTGTGTGTGTGTGTGTGTGTGTGTGTGTGTGTGTATGTGTGTGTGTGTGTGTGTGTGTGTGTGTATGTGTGTGTGTGTGTGTGTGTGTGTGTGTTAGGTGTGTGTGTGTGTGTGTGTGTGTGTGTGTGTGTGTGTGTGTGTGTGTGTGTGTGTATGTGTGTGTGTGTGTATGTGTGTGTGTGTGTATGTGTGTGTGTGTGTGTGTGTTATTGTGTGTGTGTGTGTGTGTGTGTGTGTGTGTGTGTGTGTGTGTGTGTGTGTGTGTGTGTGTGTGTGTGTGTGTGTGTGTGTGTGTGTGTTATGTGTGTGTGTGTGTGTGTGTGTGTGTGTGTGTGTGTGTGTGTGTTATGTGTGTTGTGTGTGTGTGTGTGTGTGTGTGTTATGTGTGTGTGTGTGTGTGTGTGTGTGTGTGTGTTATGTGTGTGTGTGTGTGTTATGTGTGTGTGTGTGTGTTATGTGTGTGTGTGTTGTGTGTGTGTGTGTGTGTGTGTGTGTGTGTGTGTGTGTGTGTGTGTGTGTATGTGTGTGTGTGTGTGTGTGTGTGTGTGTGTGTTATGTGTGTGTGTGTGTGTGTGTGTGTGTGTGTTATGTGTGTGTGTGTGTGTGTGTGTGTGTGTGTGTGTGTGTGTGTGTGTGTTATGTGTGTGTGTGTGTGTGTGTGTGTGTGTGTGTATGTGTGTGTGTGTGTGTGTTATGTGTGTGTGTGTGTGTGTGTGTGTGTGTGTGTGTGTGTGTGTGTGTGTGTGTGTGTGTGTGTGTGTGTGTGTTACCAGACAGTCTAGTTGGGACACTGGGCTCTTGCTGCCTGATTGGCTGATGTCCCAGATCTTGACGCAGCCTTTGCCGCCGGTGTAGACGTGGCGCGTGGGGTTGCTGATGGTGACGGCGCAGACGACCTCGCCGTGGCTCAGCGTGTTGATCTGACGGGCGTGACGTGGGATCCCGGGGCCAATCAGAGCGTCCGGAGGGAAGGGCACCGGCTGCATCTGCCCGTCTGCGCTCACGTGGAACGAATAGGCCCTGAAGACGAAGAGCAGCAGATTACACTGAGATCTGGAAGTGTTTAGAACCTTAAAAATGTTC